TCCCCAATACAAACCTATAGACTCCATTCCCGTGCCGTTTCCCATTCTCGTAGAGGCCTTCGTATGTGTCTCCGTTGGGCAGAGTTGCTTTCCCCTGGCCGTGTCGTTCGTCTCGTTCATTCCTTCCTCCCTCGTATTCCTGTCATAGGAAAAAGAAAACTAGGAAATTGGGCAAAAATCTTTTGAAATGAAATCTTGCAATAATGTCTCATCTTTCACGATGCACCAGAATGGAAAGTGAATCATCGTTCATTTGGAAATTTCCTGGGAACCACTGTAAGGGGGTCTCACATGTTTGCACCATTGCACGGACTCGCTGGGAGATCCTCTGCTCATTTCCCTCAATCTATCTGGAATCTCTCCCACATCATTTGAAGGATGCAATGCTGGAGACAGCATTTTAAATTAATTTTTAAAAACTTACAGTATAATCCACTTATATAGACATTTTGACGTATCCACATATTTTCCAAATTACGACATTTTTCCTTCAATCTTCACTAAACAATTGTCTTAAATCGACTTTTTTTCGGCCCACTCTGCTTTATCGACATGCTTCCTGGGTACCTGGCGAAGTCCACAAGTATAAAGGGAGGAAAAAGCCACGCTAACGGTCAAGGCATTAATTCTTCATCAAGTCCACATACCCGCCAAGTAGCCTATTGGACACAGCAGGCTTTAGTAGGTCATGTAGGGCCTACACAGTGTAGTCTCCAACACAGTACACTGCCTCACCGACGGGAGCATCTCGCGCGCTGGGCATCACCTCCCTACCCCCATTCCCGATCGTGTTGTCTATTTATCGCTGACCTAGCCTTAGTTTTTCACCTCTTTGACTTTCTATTTTCATTAATCGTCATTTTTATATATCGATATCAAATCCACTTCCCTAAGCAAGTATTGTAGTTGATGAACTGCCATTAAGATGAAGGTTTTGTAAATAGCACATGGAGCTGTATTATATGGGAGACAGGCACGGATTTCTGAAATTATCCGTAAGCCGAGGAGAGAGGCCTATAGAAATTATCTGCACTGACTCAAGATCAAAATTGAAACATCTAGCAAACAGTCGGAGAGTGCCACTGGTAGGTCCCACATTCTTTCCTTCTGTTGTTTCTGTCTGTCTATCCTGCTTTTGCTTGCAGTAAATGAGCATTGATGTGGGGATGTGTTCCTCTTCTCTCAAACAAACAAACAAACTGAAATATGGTATATCTCAGACCGATATTTCCCCTTTGCTTTCTGAAATCCTAATTGTTAGTTAAAAGGCAACTGTGGTTTCTCTCTACCAACCATTAATGACGACCTTTGATAAAGTGCTCATCAGTTTTTGCTCCTATTTTTTCCCTTTTCACTGGGCAGAACAAGACGCATTAGAGAACTGAATGTAGACTGCGTTAGAGAACTGAATGTAGACTGCGTTAGAGAACTGAATGTAGACTGCGTTAGAGAACTGGATCTAGACTGCGTTAGAGAACTGAATGTAGACTGAGTTAGAGAACTGAATGTAGACTGCGTTAGAGAACTGAATCTAGACTGCGTTTGAGAACTGAATCTAGACTGCGTTAGAGAACTGAATTTAGACTGCGTTAGAGAACTGAATCTAGACTGCATTAGAGAACTGAATCTAGACTGCGTTAGAGAACTGAATCGAAATTTCCTAAGTAAATTAAATAACTACATAATTTCCCATAATGATGATGAGATCTGAATTCATTTTCGGGACCTAATTTTTTTCTCGGACAGGTCACTCGATCACGAACATCGGTGTCCATGTGTTGACTATGTTGAGAACTAGTTGAATGATGCTACTACAGAGTCCGTGAACTGTTTTAGAAAAATTATCCACAGACCTTTGTCCCTTACTTTCCAGACAGTTCTCATCATCCTAGTTTAGTGTAAACATATATAGATGAGTCTTGTCAAGTTGAAATAGAGAGAGAGAGCTGGAGGAGGGGGGGGGGGGGAAAAAAAAATCCCTGAAAAGATGAGGATATGAACAAAGAGAGGGAGATAGAAAGAATAAGTGAGGGGGTTGAGGGAGAGAAACAGGGATTGAGAGACAGAGAGAGAGATGGTTTTCTACTCCGGCGTTTACTAAATATGTACACTCGGTTTGATAGTGTTGTCAAATCTGCCTTAGCCGTAAGATCGCGGTCACCAGGACTACTGACCACTATTCCATGTCACCCTTGCATTTTTCCGACATATCCTTACCCTGTCCCAAGGCGGTCTCTGTCTAGAATGACCGCGGTCAGTTATTTTCTCGACAACTCAAGTCTCAAAGCCTACGTCATGCTGTCACTAGCTACAAATTGTTTTGGCTAAGCCGTCCTCAAACTGAATGGGAACTTTCTCAGTCAGTGCAAAGAAGTTCTTGTGAGAGATAAAGGAAGTTCTTGTGGGAGATAAAGGAAGTTCTTGTGAGAAATAAAGGAAGTTCTTGTGAGAGATAAAGGAAGTTCTTGTGGGAGATAAAGGAAGTTCTTGTGAGAAATAAAGGAAGTTCTTGTGAGAGATAAAGGAAGTTCTTGTGGGAGATAAAGGAA